TTATATTTGATTATCTATTTAGAAATTACTTGTAACTGATAGCAAATATTTGTTATATATATATCGATTATCAATTATAGACTATTTCAAACAAAGAAGGAAAATTCAAAATAATTTTCTACCTAAAACTAAAACTAAGGGCTTGTTTAGTTCAAGCTTTCCTCAAAAAAAGAATTTGGGGAACCTAACCAAAAATTATATTGCATCTCAATTTTTGAGTAAGGAAATTTAATTTTCTAAGCCAAGTCAAGCTAATTTTTGGTTGGCTACTCCATATTCTTTTTTTGGAATTTGATGTAACCAAATAGGACTTTAGCTTAAATTACAGTAATTGAATCCTATATTTGTAATTTCTCTATAATGGAGACTTTGTTTGTAACGTCTGCATAGCAAAGCAACATCTCTATTTTTTCGTCAATAACGACTCTATTTGTAACGTCTCTATGACAACTGTATTTGTAACGTCTCTATGACAAAGTAACATTTCTATTTGGTCATCAATAATGACTCTATTTATAACATCTTTATGGCAAAGCAACATCTTTATTTTGTTATCAAGGGCAAAAGCATTATGGTTTAAAGTTAATTGGCCTAGTTACAAGCATCCCCATTTCATATCTATACTGTTTTTGAGAAAAATAATGTTTTTGTGCTATGTACAACTTATGTTTCATTATCTATTCGAAAATTTCTTGTAACTAATAACAAATATTTGATATATATATATATATTGATTATCAATTATAGACAATTTCAAACAAAGAAGGAAAACTTAAGGTAATTTCCAACCTAAAACTAAAACAAAGGGCTTGTTTGGTTTTACTTTTCCTTGAAAATGAATCTTGGGTAAGCTGATCAAAAATTATGTTGCACCTCAATTTTTGTATCAAGAAATTTATTTTCCTAAGTCCAGTTGAGTTGATTTTTGGTTGGCTTCCCTAAATTCTTTTTCTAGGATTTGAGGTAACCAAATAAGGCATTAACTTAAATTATGACAATTGTATAAAAGAAGAAAAGTCAAAATAATCACTTACAAATAATCATTTACAACTCCTTTATTTATAACGTTTCTATAGTAGAGACTCTATTTGCAATGTCTCTATAACAAAGTAACATTTCTATTTTGTTTTCAGTAGCGACTTTATTTGTAACGTCTCTATAACAACTCTGTTTATAATGTTTTTATTATAAAGCAACATTTTTATTTTGTTAACAGTAGCAACTCTATTTATAATGTTTTTATGACAAAGCAACATCTCTATTTTGTGGTCAAGGGCAGAAGCATTATGGTCTAAGGTTGGGCACCAAGATATTGGCCTGGTTACAAGCTTCCTTATTTCATATATGTATTGCTTTTGGGAAAAATAATGTTTTTGTGCTATATATAAGTTATGTTTGGTTATCTATTTGAAAATTGCTTGTAATTGATAGTAAATATTAGATGTATATATATAGATTATCAATTATAGACAATTTTAGACAAAAATGAAAACACAAGTTAATTTCCTACCTACACGTGTTTGGTTCAAGCTTTACTCAAAAAAAAAAAAAAAAGAATCTAGGGAAGTTGACAAAAAATTATATTGCATCTCAATTTTTATGTTAAGAAATTTATTTTCTTAAGTCAAGCTAAGTTTATTTTTGGTTGGTTTCTCCAAATTCTTTTTCTAAGATCCTAGATAACCAAACCTAGCCTTAACTTAAATTACAACAATATTATAAAAAACGGAAAGTGTAAATAATCACTTGTAACTCCTTTGTTTATAACGTCTCTAAATTAGAGACTTTATTTGTAATGTCTTTATAATAAAGCAACATCTATATTTTGTCGTTAGTAGCGATTTTATTTGTAACGTCTCTATGATGACTTTATTTATAACGTTTCTATGACAAAGCGACATTTTTATTTTGTTGTCAATAGTGACTTTATTTGTAACGTTTCTATGGCAAAGTAATAATTGTATCTTGTCATCAAGGGTGGAAGCATTATGGTCTCAAGTTAGGCACCATGAAATCGGCCTAGTTATAAGCATCCCCATTTCATATTTGTACTATTTTTGAGAAAAATAATGTTCTTATGCTATGTATAAGTTATGTTTGGTTATCTATTTAAAAATTACTCATAATTAATAACATATATTTGTTATGTATATATTGACTATCAACTATAGTCAATTTCAAATAAAGAAGGAAAACTTAAGGTAATTTCCTACCCAAAACTAAAACTAAGGACTTGTTTGGTTCAAGCTTTTCCCAAAAGAAGAATCCAAGAAAACTAACGAAAAATTATATTACACCTTGACTTTTGTGCCAAGAAATTTATTTTCCTAAGCTAAGGCAAGCTAATTTCCAGTTGGCTTCCCTAGATTCTTTTTTCAAGATCCAGGGTAACCAAACACAACCTTAGCTTAAATTACAACAATTGTATGTAAGAAGAAAAGTCTAAATAATCACTTGCAACTCCTTTATTTGTAATGTCTCTCTTGTGGAGACTCTTTTTGTAATGTTTCTATAGCAAAACAACATTTCTATTTTGTCACCCATAGTAACTCTATTTGTAATGTATTTATGACAACTCTATTTGTAATATCTCTATCACAAAACAAACATCTCTATTTTATCATCAAGTTGGGCATAGTCGTTACCCTAAGCCTAAGAAAGTTAGAAAAAAAAAGGCTAAAATATACAGGAGAAAATTGCCCTATTATGAGCATATGCACTACCTTGAACGTAAAAAAGTTAGAAGAAAAAAGTGAACTAAAGCATGAGAAAATTACCTACTTCAAGTCTTATCATGATTCTACCTTTGTTATTGATATCTCTATTCGTTTTCTTCTTTCTTTTTAGTTTTTTCATTCTACCCTTTATAATTCCTTGCATTTGCAATTGGAAACATAAAAACTAATTATAATATGCATAAACAAAAGTAATGGAAGAACAATTTTGTAAAAGGGATACTACAACCCAACATAAGTACTAAATTGACAATAATGCTCCTAATTTATAAAATGAAGATCACCACATTTGGCGATTTTATATGCACATAACAAAAGCAAATATGACCAAACAAAGCATGAAAAATCAAGGTAATTTCCTATCCAAAACCAGAACTAAGCTTAAAATACAACAATTGTGTAGAAGAAAGAAAGTCTAAATAATCACTTACAACTCTTTTATTTATAATGTTTTTATAGTAACAACTCTTTATTTGTAAGATCTTTATGGTAAAGCAACGTTTCCTTTTTTTCGTCAAGGACATAAACAATTTATGGTCTAAAATTGGGCACAAATGTTACCTTGGGCCTCAAAAAGGGGGAAAAAAAAAGAGGTTCAAATAGGAGAAAATTGACCAATTATGGGCATATACCCTATCCTAAACCTGTACCCTACCTTGAGCCTAATAAAGTTAGAAGAAAAAAAATGAACTGAAGCATGAGAAAATCGCCTCCTACGAGTCTTATCATGATTTTGACTTTTCTCATTGATGTCTCTAATAGTTTTCTTCTCTCTTTTTAGTTTTTCATTCTTTCCTTATAATTCGCTACATTTGTAGCTGAAAACATAAAAAACTAGTTATAATATGCATAAACAAAAGCAATAGAAGAACAATTTTGTAAAAAAGGATACTACAACCCGAACATACTTTGAAAGTATTAAATTGACAATAACACTCCTAATTCGTAAAATGAAGATCATCACATTTGCTGATTTTATATCCACATAACAAAGGCCAATATGATAAAACAAAGAATGAAAAATCAAGGAAATTTCCTACCTAAAATTAAAACTAAGCTTACATTACAGCAATTATATAGGAAAAGGTAAGTCTAAATAATCATTCACAACTCATTTATTATAACATTTTCACAGTAATAACTCTATTTATAATATCTCTAAATAACAACTTTATCTGTAACATCTTTATAATAAAGTAACATTTTTATTTTATTGTCAAAGATGAAACCTTATGGTATATAATTGGGTACAAACGTTATCCTGTGCCTAAAAATTTTTGAAAAAAAAAAAAAGAAAGCTCAAATACGAGAAAATTACTCTATCATGAGCATTTGCCCTACCTTGAATCTAGAAAAGTTAGAAAAATACTGAAGCAGGAGCGAGCGAATTGCCCTAACCCGAGTCTTATCATATGATTCTGCCTTTCTTATTGATATCTCTATTAGTTTTTTTCTTTCCTTTTAGTTTTTCATTCTTCCCTTTACAATTCCCTGTATTTGCAACTTAACATAAAATTTAATTGTAATCTGCATGAACAAAAACAACAGAAGAACAATTTTTCAAAAGGGATGATGCCCCCATTTTTAGCTTGTAAGTTGAGCTTGGAAATTCGAATCGGAATTTAGAAAAACAGAGAACTAATGTTACTTAAAAATTGTAAATTCTGCATTCCTAAGGGTACAACATAAAAGAAAATCATGCAGTTCAACAAATCAGAATATTGAAGAAAGCTGTCACATCAAACAGAAAGTCCACTTGGGTAATTACTAATCATCTTGTCATGGTTCCGACAACAGGAGCCACTGTAATACCTCGGCCTAGTCTTTCCATGTTTGCTTGCCAACCTGAAATCAAATGAATCAATAAATAATTAAAATAGAAGAAGGAACAACCTTAAATAAGGTAAATCAAATGAACAGGGGAGAAACAGAACAAGAGCAGAAGAAACGCGCACCGATCCCCATATCAAAGCCACGGTTCCTGAGCTCTCTATACTCTTGACAAAGTGCACAAGGCTCACAGCAGAAGTGAACCAGGCAATCGGCAAAGGGTGCTTCCTCCAGGTCATATTGTGCTCTCATTCTTGATCTGTAGAAACAGGAATACAAGCATGGTAGGCCTGTAAGAGCAAGCAAGGCGTAAACTGCCCCACTTGTTGCACAAGCTGCAAACCCATAATCAATCTCATTACTTCAAAAATGAATTGGAAATTTTGATGAAACAAAAATGCAGTGTAAGGGTGTTTTACAGACTTACGTATTGAACCCTTATTAATAATCTCAGCAATCTGTCCAAAGGTAACACATGGACAGAAAGAAGTGATCAAGCAGTTTCCAGGATCATCACAACAGTGGCAAAGGCCGGTGGACCACCGGGAAGTGGCTCCGGGATAGGTGGAGATGGATGGAGTGGGATAAGACTGGGAATGGTGTACGTTCATCGGAGCTGTTGGATACCCTCCCGGTGCATATTTTGTATTGGCTTGAGAACTATACATTTCTTTCTTATGAGAACCAACGGAAGAATGTGAGATGGACTGGTAACAGAACTCAACAGGATTCCTTGGAATTATATAAATATTAACATCTCCATTTCCTAGAAATTAATTGGCTCAAACTCAAAGAGATCGAAGATAGAGGTTTGAATTGAATTGCTTGTCCCCATATGCGGAGAAGAGTTGTCCTCACGTGCAGATTAAGGAGAAAGTCTGTGTCATGAAGATAAATAATATAATATTTTATGCAAGTACTATCTCAATCAATAAAAAAAAGACAACTTAATGAAATTTTGTAGAGTTTACGTCTCAATACGACCTCTTAATATATATAAAATATCTATGTTTTTAATTTTAAAGTATTAAAATATCAAATTTCTATTAATCAAACGCTGTAATTGTAAACACGAAATAGCAAGTTTCTGTTAGTTAAAAACCTGTAATGTGAACACGAGATGGCAAGTATGGGTATTACCTAAACACATGACAACTTTTCGTACACCAAGGATGCTTTGAATTGAAGTAAATTAATCCCTTAGTGCTTGCATCTTTTCGAAAAAGCCTACCCCAGTTGTGAATGGACCTAGCTTGCATGTTGCTATATTGTAGTCTTCCAAGATACATGTTTTCGTAAGTTGAGTAAGAACGAATGAGGATATGATCTGGACCATTAATTCTGAATTTCTAATAAAGAAACAACCAGAACTGCAAGGCTTACCGTACGTGATGCACAAGTGAATTTGCTGTGTTAATAACGAACAAAGAAGGACTAATACAAAACTTTTTTTATAAACTTATGTTGCAGTGCACTAAGTATATATATATACAATACGTATCATTTTCAATTTTTTTAAAAAGAAATTAGATTTTTAATTTATATTTAAAAATTAAAATCTTAATTTAAAATTTAAAAGTTTAATCAATTTTTAAATCAAAATATTAATATTTTATAAGAGAAATTTTTAAATTTTATATTAAATTTTAATTAAATAAAACAACATAATTAAAAAGTTAAAATTTTAATTTTTTTTAGAGTCTATACTAACATACAGTAACCTCTTTATATATATATATTTGTTAGGATATTTTCAAATTAACTCACACTTACACATATTTCAAAGTAATTTCTATTTCTCTAGAAGACGCATCAATGTTGATAATTCCAATTAATGTATATGTTGACGTAATTATAAATTATTAATATGATTGCAAGAATAAAGTCTTTTGACTTTAATAAAGAGAGAATATGGCTAATAAAAAATGCTTAAAGATAGAGTGGCGGGCCAAACCATCGTACTGTATAGATTCGGTTCTCCACTATGGCTTCGCCTTTAATGGAACCTTCGCACACTTTGAATCAGAACATAAGCTAGCACATCCATCATCCAACCCCAATCCAACAGAGAGATGGCGATTATGAGGTGTATGGAGGTGCAAAATCCGAGCCGGGATATGAGGTGGACGAATTCAAAGCCTGGCTCCGGTGGTTTGACGCTGATCAAGACGGACAGATAAGTAGGGAAGAGCTTAATGACGCTCTCCATAGCGCGAGGACTTGGTTTGCATGGTGGAAAGCACGACAAGGAATGAAAGCAGCGGATGACAATCATGATGGCCGGATTGACAACAGCAAGGAAATGGAGAAGCTCGTGAGTTATGCTTAAAATCACTTGCACATGAAAATCCACGAAAACGATTGGTAATACTTTGAGCTTAAAAGTTTTATCATGTGTTCTTTTTAATATATAAAGAATTTATTTTTTAGTATCGTAAGGGTTTAAATCTTTTTATCTTAATTTTAAATCTAAATTTTTAAACTTTATAATTGAGAATGATATAATTACAAAATTATGTATTATTATAAATTTACAATCATGAGATTTTATTATATGATTAACTCTTTTTATTTAGAATTTATGCATAATATTATATATATACACTTATTAACATGTCAAAGTTATAAAATCATAAGCCTACATGACATTATAACTTAAAAATTGCTGATTTTATTATGTGTTTATTTATCCATGTGTATTTCTCTGAGAGATTCGTGTAATTTAATTCTGTCTCATACTCATCCTTGATACAATTGCCTTTACTTTTTGTTTTTATTCTACTTTTTCCTGATGAAAATGAGCATGATCTAAAATAAAAACGAGCCCGGCCTTAAAATAAGCCCAGGGTCTGGTTCCAACAGAAATGGGCTTTAAGCCCAGAGTTTGTCAACTTTGGTTCAAACATCCAAATGGACCTGATGGGCGAGGCAGCGGATTACCATACAAATAGGCACCCGTAAATAGAGTTTGCTTCTCTCTCACTGCAAAACCCTCAATTAAAAATGAAAAAAGGGCTTTAAGAAATAAAAATACACATGTTAATTTCCAAGGCCAAAATCATAACAAGTAGAAGAATTGTAAGAAACAACGAAAATAAGGCTCTCTTACATGCATGTAAATAGAGAAAGATTTTTGGAAATATTCAATTTTAAATGAAGGGAGATAAAAGAGCAAAATGAATAAAGATAAGATAAAATTGAGAAAGCCAAAGGACTGCAAAATATTAAAGTGATGATATGAATGTATGATAATGATACCATGATACTTAACACAGTAATCTTCAGTCCTCATCTTCCAGATAGAGCTGGGTTACCATCCTCAGGGTTTTGAGTTGGGGGGGGAGGGAAGACAAAAAGGACCCTGACTCTTCACTTCAGACCGACATCATATAAGAAGGGCAAATCACCATGGAGCACTAACTTCTTCTTGGAATCTCATCTCATAACTCTCTGCTTTTGATTTCAATTCCTCAATTTCAGTAGTGAACCTTTCATAGGCCCCCTTCAATTCCGCAAGCTTGGCTTCAAGATTTCTGATCTCATCTGCAGTGTGAGCTTGTTCTGTTTTGGCTTCCATGTACCTCCTTGTATCTGCAGCACCTTCTGAATCATACGCAAGGTGTGCAAGCCGGCGTAAGCGAGCACGTAAGAATCCAACATTCATACCTAACAGCTCAAAGGCTTTTAAGGAATTGTCCCAACTATCAAATTCATCCCTGCGGGTAGTAAGCTTGCAGTGTCTTATAGCATCAGCTATATTGACAGTCTCACATATAGTTCCAACTATCAATTTCAAATTGATGCCCGGGATGAGACTTTCATGAAGGAATGCATTTTGACTACAGCATAGCTTGTAGTACTTATTGTGAACGTCTTCCAAGAGCTCAGAATCTATAACCAAGCCATCTACCAAGATATTGAAGTTCTCAAATTTTGTCATGTCCTTAAATTGAATAGTATTTGCAGAGAGCTTTACTCCTTCTAGCACTTCTGAACCAACATCTTCACTATCATAATCAGATTGCATTGCTAGTTGCCCAGGATTAGAAGCCAATCCCTGCTGGCCAGTCTTTTTATTCTTCTTTTGAACAAAAGCTAGCGGAAGAGATTTTGAAAGTTTCCTCTTCGTTCCTTTACTCTTCATTGCATCCATTTCTACATTATCTTTTCATTTCGTAAGTTACAATTATAATGCAACCTTCTGACAAACAAGCATGATACTCAAAACAACAGAAAGGATAATCCACTTGCCTGCCTCATTTTGTTTTGTACAAGCATCCAAGTTTAGCAGGCCAAGAGCCCCATCCAGTGCAGTCAGATCGTTTGCCCTTATTATGTATATCTGCAATAATAGTTAACTTTATAGATACTTGTTCTCCAAATAAATGAATTTCCAGAGAATAATAACATGTAATGAAATATCATCTTTCAACCAACAATCAGATATAACTGTATCACCTTGAACTTGGTTGGTTCAACTAATTGGAATACCAAAACATCTCCCTCAAGCAAGTTGTGTGCATTACAGAACTGTCTCCAGCCAGCACTCAGCCCTGTCTTATCAGCCAAGTATTTTATCTCAAATTGTTTCCCACTTTCATCTTCCACAACCATCATAGTGTCCTTCTTTGGCAAATGTGACTTACAGAAAGTCCCAGGAAGCCCCTATCATGATAATGCATCAATAAAAAATAAGCCTCCACTTCTCCTAAAATGTTATTATCCCAATTCAAATGTACAAATTTAACAAAACTTACCATCCAAAAACAGCAGGAAACATGGGACCTAACCATAGATTTTGCTAAACTGGGAAATGCAGGCTCTAAATTTGACTGAACCTCCTCTGCCCGAATCATGGCAGGTGACTTAACTTGAGGGGAGCATCTCCCTACACCTGCATCTTTTTGTTTCTTATGGCTTCAAATAGACAAGAGTTAATGTTGTAAGACAAAGAATCAACCAAGTAGCAAAGAGTAACGGTTCAAAACATATATAGACAGAATTTTAGATCCCTCGCTAACCTTAGAAACCTTTCTCCATGATGAGATACTGCCTGTTAAAAAGTTCTCGGTTAGTGCTTGAACAAGCTCCCAAGCAAATCATTAAAATTCGAACAAACAAGAAAAGTTATTTTGAAACATGTATGATCACCAATTTGGAATTGAAAGTGCATATGTGCTCTAGAGGTTTATCATTCAATTACTATTATTTTGAAGCAATCTTTAGTTGACATTTTGAAACTACCACAACATGCTAACCAAGAACTGAATTCAAGTAAAATTCTGCTCCTGAAACAAGAGAATAACCACCACAACATGCAAAGCAAAACCACGGATTCATTACAGATGAATCGAGAATGGAGCTGAATTAAAGAACAATAACCAATTAAGGCATGCTGAGAACAGAAACGCGTGAAAACTTACATCCTTAATTACAGTCTCGGATTGGCACTTCTTGATCTTCAACTGATTCTTTGCTCGTTTCTTGTTTCTATTCTGGCGAAAACAATGCACTCAAAATATCATCAATCAAGCAAGAGTAGCAACGAAAAAGCATGTAATCATGCCACATTATGCGTAATCAATGTTTTAAACAGCGGGAAAAAAGGCATTTGGGGCGAGATCTAGCACGATTCAACTATTTTCCACCAGTTTAATTCCAGGTAACCAAACAGAAAATGACAGAGAGAGGGAGAGGTACATAGGGCTTGAGGTTGAGAGTATGGGATAGCGGAACGAGAATGGAGGGACCGCCTGTGGCGGATTTCGGCGTCTGGCCGGAAAACGCCGCTGCTGTTCCAGAGTGTAGCTCGTCGGCTTCCTTCTTGATCTCTTTAGATTCCATAACCGCCAATTCTCAAAAGAGAACCAGAAGAAAAAAGCGACCAATTTCTCCTCCTCCGTCTCTCGACCCGAAACGAAGTCTCAAGTGTCGAAAGGAAGTCGTAAAAATACGAAGACTAAATTGAGTATTTAACTACGCCGTGCTTAGTATATACTTAATTACGTCTTATGGATCTGATTGGATGCTTAATCACGTGTTTTGATTGGACGCTTATTGCTTGAAATCATGGTTCGCCACGAAAAAACAGAAATACAGAATGTGCACTGGACTGTGATTGCCACGTTGGCAAAAGAAAGAGTGTTACTCTAGTTGTGGATATGGGCTTCTGCTGCAGCCCGCCAGCCAGTCGGCATTATATATGCCGCTTTTTTTTTTT